GTCCAGCTAGGCTTTTCCTGGCCTTTTCTTTCTCCTGATAGCCATCAAAAGACAAGCTGACACGAGAAAGCAGACACACGTGATTGACACCTTCTTTGCAGCAAGATTTTTTTTTCTTCTCTTTTTAATCATCCTCAGGGTGATGCGGTTTTCCCCAGACGCTGGTTGCCCAGGAATGGCTGACACAACAAGATGCATTACGCCCTCTTTTTCCGAGGAAAGGGCCCATGAACGGTTTTTGGCTGGGAGATACGGTTCTTCATGTCCTTGTCCAAACAAAAACCAAAACCTCATTGGGGCATTATAGGAGCAGTAAAGTGCCTGAAAACCAGGACCATATAACAATTCATCAGGAGCAGAAGGGGCTTAGTACTAATGGCATATTTTAGTCATGTGTCATTAACAGATTTCGCATGCTGCTTCCGCAAGCCTGTCAAGGGCCTAACAGCCGTTGATGGACCGGTTGCACGGAGCCTGTAACAGTTGGCGGTCTGGGCTGTCAAATGTAAAGATCTGAGGTTCTGTCTTGACGGATCGTGGCAGTGAGACTTCGGCACGAGGCAAATGCCGTGCATTTGGCCTTCTCTTTAGCACCGACTGTCTTTCGCAGCGTTTGCCACTGTCCAGTGCAGCATCCTGAAGGTCAGAACCATCCTGTCTCCTAAGAAGACGCATCAGCATTCATGGGAGAAAACGCTCAAAGGTGCCGCTGCGGCCACGGGAGAGCATGCGGCTCCCAAGCCATCCCCGTCGTGTGTCTGCATTCATCCGAGCCCAAATGCGCTTGCGGAATCTGGCAGGGAGGTTTGGCGGGGGCTCTGCGGTGCCGCCGTGGCGTGTCTCCCGTCAGCGCTTGGGAATCTGGAGTTCAGATCAGGTGGGACCAGGGGGCCCAGCCGCTCTGCAAGGGAGGGAGGCCCTTGCTGCGGGAAGGTCTGCTTTGCACTGGACAAGCGCCTTCCGTGCGCGTAGGGTTCAACAAGAAAGGGAGCGGGGGCAGCAGCTCGCTCTTTGCACTCTCCCTTGCCCGGATGGGTCAGAGCTTGGAGGAGGCGGCGGCGGCGGCACCACCACTGGGAGAAGTATTATGGGATTCCTAGGTGGAGACTCCCCTCCCCTCTTCTGAGGCAGCCCTCGCAGCATCAGGACTTGGAAGGCATGGAGCGATGTATGTTTATTCCTTTACTTTCCTCATTGTCAGCAGCCACCGTTTGGGTTCCCCCTCCACCCCACAAGTGGTGCTGCTCAGGATTAATTTAAGATGCAGTTTGAGTCGCAGTCGCTAAATAATCCCAGAATTGTGAGGAGCCCCGTAAAGCAGGGTCCAGGTAGCATATGTCCCTTTGATTTTAAGCCTCCTTAGGCTAAATGAGGCTGCAGCGCATTTAAATTGGAGCGTGTGCAGTGTAAGGACTGGATGGTCCTTGTGGGAATCTCGGCTTCCCAGCCCTTCCTTCATTAGTGGATTATGTTCTGCACTTAAGGGTGCTTCCCTGCTGTTTCCAAAGGAAGCCCTCCTAACTTTGTGGCCGTTGAATAATTCAGTCTCCTCGTGGAATTGCGGCCTGAGAATGCTCAGCAGCCGCAAGCGGGCATGGTAAAAATGAATCCTAGAAAGCAACATCTTGGCCGTCGTTCTGCACTTGACAGGGAAATTAGAGCTCCTGAAAGCAAGTGGACCACAAGCGCCGTGAGGAAACTTAATTGGATGGACCACGGTTGATAATAAAAGACCTGGCAATCCATGAGGGCTTGGGGATTGCTGAGGCTCTGCATAACCTCGGTTTCTGATCTCTTCCCAGTTTTACTATGTTGGAGCAGTGTTATGTAGTTCTTTTGCAGTGATGTGAAGTGTGCGTCTTGCTTGCTCATCTAACACAAAGTACCTTCACCCGTTAGAAAAATACAGGTGTTTTTCAGGTATGCAGGTGCAGTTAGGTAGGGTTGGTTTCCCACCATGCCTCCCATTTGGATTGAGATGCTCAGCTGTATGTGAGCTCTGGTTCAAATCTCTTCTCAGACATGACGCTCACTGCGTAACCACGAGCCGGTCACTGTCTTACCTGCCTCGCCAGGTTCTTAGGTTTACCACCTCGAGCTGCTTGGAGCGAGGGAAGAATGCTGACGGCAGTGAGCGAGGGAGAAGACTAAGTCGCTGAGCGGTTGATTCCATCGCTCATGAGACCGTGGCTTGTCTACACGTGGAAAGAGGGGCAGGGGGGTTGCTTCCTTCCCCAAAGCACCCCTGTGACAGAAAGGTGCTTTAGCAGACCTTCAAATGGCTCTTTGATTTCTTGGATCCGACGCAACCAGCTGGGCTTCAAGGCACTGGGAGTAGCCAGTCTGCGGAGCCTGGTTGTTCCGGCTCGTTAGGAATCCGGAAGCAGGAGCAGGGAAACATTTTTCTGTGGTTTTCAAAATAACCCCAACCTTCAAAAAGCATCATGGGGAGAAATTCCTACGGCGTACTATGTTTGAGGGGGAGGGTAAGATTGTCGTGTAGGACGGGCGATGGCTGATATAGAAGAATAAAATTAAACTGCTTTGCTCTGGGGGTTTTCACCATATTCAGCTGCTGAATTTACCTCGTGGAGGCGGTGGAGATTGCTAGTTGCAGATGAGCGCATGCAGTCTGGTTCAGCTCAGACACGGACAGCATCTCGAGAAGGGCTTTTGCGGGGACAGGGAATGGAATTAAGCTACATTGCTTCGGGAAAAACCCAGTTTTAAGGACCAGTCAGCACAACTGTTTTTCCTCGGAATGCATCTGTTTTTCCAGAGTGAATGGGCTAAAGTAATGCAATAAACACCGCTAACTTATTCCATACAGATGCAATGTGATTAAGCTCTAAATCTGACACCTCCGCCTTTCTTACACCATGCAGGCTTGTTCTTGGAAACAGCCTAAAAATCAGGGGAAAATGTTCCAGCTATTTTTAAACCAGGAGAACCTGTTGCTAGGCACTGCTGTGCTTCAAGCGGCCAGGCAAGAGAAGTGCAGCAAACGGGAGCCATCGCAGGCTGGGGGGAAAGTGTGAGATGGATTCCTCTGCCAGACCTCTTGGTCTTGCTGCAGCCAATGTTAGGCCTGGTCCGCTCAACACGGCTGGCTCAGGCTGGGTCACTTGATCCACTGGAAGCCCTTCTGTATATTGGGTGTGGCCTTTGGCCATTGTGACCGTGCAGTCATCCAAACCCAGCCATCATGGGTGAGCTGAAGGTTAAACAACCCTTGAGCTGTAAGTTGCAGTGGGAATTAGGTGAGGGTTGTTTAACCCTTGAGTATCTGCAATGATCAGCTCCAGCCTGATTGGCCAGTTGGGTGTTGGCCCATCAAAATGGTGGCCACGTTTGCAGCGTGTGTGATTAATGACGGGTCAGGCGTGGCATCTGCATTGGCCCTGACTGAGTCTTCCATCTTAGAGCTGCAGGCAGGAGATACCAAGTGAAGTGAAATTAGATAGATAGAGCAAGAATGCTGATCTGGGTGGAACCTAAAAAAAGCTCCCCCTCTTGAATGCACACCTGAAACATGGCGAGGGGGTCTAAGAGCGTCGGAGGAGCTTTGGGGAATGCTGCCGGAAGAGGCGGCTCTTGCATTCATCTGTTCTCCTAGCAGAGTCTCCCAAGGTGGAATGGCATCCCTCAAAGCCATCCTCCGGGGACCTCAGCATGGCACCTGAGACCTCCTTCGGCAGCTCAGGCGGGGGCTTGACAGAGTCCCCGATCCCTTCGTAAGATGCGAACGCTCCAGACCGATGGTCAGATGGTCAGAGAGTCTGCTGAGATAAACCGCATCCTTGTGGACCACTTGGGCCCTCCCTGGCCCTTCAGCATACCCTGATGCTGAATCAGGTATCCCTGTAGGCAGAATCTCTCTCCCCTGTTCACCCTCCCAGGTTTTGGTATCACGTACCTGAATGAGGGCCTGATCAGGTTGTAATAACAGGGTATTTTTTTAGCTGTCCAACAGGTGCAGAGAATTCATCTCCCCGCCCATTTGTTAATTTCCATGAAGCCAGTAAATAATTTAAAAGATTACATTAAAGTCTGCTCCAGTAGAGAATTTACCTGTCTAGTAACCTCTGCCCCAAATGGACCAGCTACTGGGCCTTGCCAAAAGACACGTTGAACAGAAGCATTAGCGGGTGCTGGACCGAGGAACTTGGGCACCAGGTAAATAAAGCTTCATCGCGTTTCTTCCCTTTAACTGCTGGGCTCTTTTGGGCTCTTTTTTTTCCTCCCCTCCCCTTCCACCCGGCTCCAGTAAAGAGTAACAGATCACTGTGTGAAGCAAACAGCATGCTTTCCCTGTCAGCAATATGTCATACAAAAAATTATGGTCCAGACACATCTTATTTCTGAGTTCTTGTTTCAACTGGGGATTTACAACAGTAGTGATACAAATGCCGGTATATAGCGCAGTTGGAATAAATGCAGCCTCAAAGCTCTTTTGCTGTCCAACGTTCTGGGAAATAATCCATTCCGATTCAACAGCTGAAGGAGCAGCACAAAATTCCTGATTAATTTCCTTTTGAAACCTTTCTGTTGACCTTAAAGGAGCAAGGTGCTAAAGAGGAGAATGGAATAGCGCTTGAGAGCTCTGAAAGAAGCAGCTACTTTCTCATCTGTAGAGCTAAGGCAAAGTAGACCCTTTTTTGGAACACAAAGCCGTGTTAATATAAATAGGATTATGCCTAACCTCGTGACAATAACAGGAGTCAGCGCTCTGTGTAGTGACTCTGGAGTTGAGAGCGATGCCAGGAAGAATTTGGATTTTGGTTTGGGACTCTCATTCCCCCCCCCCCCCGCTTGGTCTTCTGCCAAAGCTTGGCATGATCGGTACCATTAGCAGCAGCAGATAACCAAGTAAATCTTCAAAGACGGAGATCGCACGTCAAGGAAAGTGGGGGATCCAATCCCGTACCCTTCCCGGGAACAGCTGTGAGCCGAACACCATCAGGATGCGATGAAGAGGCATCTCTGGGAAATGGTTAACTGCCGTGTTGTTTAGATATGTCCACAAAGAGCAGCTCAATCGAACGGCAAGGATCAGTGTAATGGCTTCCAAGGGACGCTGGTGCGCCATCAGAAGGACACCGGCGGATGCAGTGAGTGGCTGGTAGGATAAATTTTGAATGAGCCGCAGGAGGAGGCTGGCTCCCCCAGCCAAATGCCGTCCTTCGGCTTTCTCCGTGGCTAATGTTATGGTTTGGTGTCTGTTCAGGGCCAGGCTTGTGCATGGCATGTGGGGCAGGGGAGGGGCTGGTGCTTGTCTGGAGGAGCTTTCGGCTAGGCGGAGTGGTACGAGTGAAGGGGCATCCTGGGGTTGAAAACGAGGGAGGGGCTGACCTGTGGATTTCAGTTCTTGGCACTGTATGACCGGGAGGGCAAGGCCTCTGGTTCCACAGACAGGCAGAAAAGTCCAGAGCCAGCAGAGCGGTTTGCAGGGTGCACCTAAAGGGTGCGATGGAACAAGGAGGAGTGGAAAGACACCAGCGCTCGGGGGTGAAGATCGCCGCCTGTGCGCCGAATCCTTTCCTACCTGTGCACGTGTTCCAGTCAAAGTTAGTGCCATGTTGCACTGCGCCTGCTGTGCTCCTTAGGCTTTTGGTACAGACAACACAAACTATAGGGAACATACGGCTTGTGTACTGGATGCCTTCGATTGACCCTGACCTGTAGGGAATACCTGGACAGGTGTGGACTGAGGAGGTGGAGTGGGAGCTGGAAGCTTTTTCGTAAGTGAAAGCGCAGCATGCAAAGCGATTCCTTGGGGAAGGTTTGCTTAAAATAGCTGGCGGGGGCGGTGCTCAGCCAGACTTTTGGGTTGAGAAGTTTTCTGCGTCCAGATAACTAGCTGTGGAAATAAGGTCTTCTGTGGAATTCATATTCATCTAAGTAAGAAGAACAGTAGGCAATTTTTTAGGCTTTAAAGATGAAAGCAACTAATTAGTGCTGTGTAGAAATCTTCTCTAGGGAGAGAAAAAATGATGGGAGCGGAAGCGAGCGCACTGATTCTGGCTTCTTTCTTCATTGCCTGCAGTTGTCTTGTAACTTATTTTGGTTAATAATTCCCAAATGAACATTCTAAGTGTCCTTTTTTTTTGCTTTTTATCCTGTCATTTTTTTCTCAGTTTGCTGGGCTGAAATGAAGTGGAACGTGTAGTGACAATTTAATATGCAAAGGATAATTGCAAAAAATCCAAGAATGTAAGCTAGTTCCAAATAATTCATAAATAGAAATAATGTGTGAAAAGGGGTTTACATTCATACGCAAACGCTAAACATTAAGGATACGCAGTCACCACAAGCCTCAGTTCAGATCTGATTTGGCCTGGACAGATTTTGAGTCCAAATGTTGTTGTTGCTCAGTCGCAAAGTTGTGCTTGACTCTTCGCAACCCCGTGGACAACATTCCTCCAGGCTCTCCTGTCCTCCACCATCCCCCGGAGTCCACCCAACCCACACCCACCTTCCCAGTGACCCCATCCAGCCCCCTCATCCTCTGCCATCCCCTTCTCCTTTTGCCCTCAATCGTTCCCAGCATCAGGGGCTTCTCCGGTGAGTTGTTTCTTCTCATTAGGTGGCCAAAGTATTTGAATTTCATTTTCAGTACCTGACCTGCTGAAGAGCAGTCAGCGTTGATCTCCTCTAGGACTGACTGATACAGGAATCTAAATGTTTGCAGCTGCCATTTATTATGATTGAAAATCGGCCAGCATCTATGTTGTTCATTTGGTTTGTCAGTCCTGGATGGCATTTGCAAGTATGGCGGTCCTGTATGAGGGGATCAGACCTGCCCGATTTCAGGCGGATAGGTCTTGTTTCACAGGCTTTCAGATGCCGATTGTTTAAAAAAGCAATCTGCCAATAGCCGTATACTTCTTGGCAGAACTGGATTGTGCTGCAGGGAAGTTCCACCCTCTGAAGTGTTGCGTTTGCCAAGTTTCCGGTGAAGAGGTTCATAAAACATTATGCAGGAGCCATCCTTTAGTTTGGGGGTTTCCAAAAAGAGCGTGGTCACCTCTGCATGCTTTTTATGGGCAATTGTAATGAAAATTAGAGACAGCATAAAGGTAGCTGAGAAACATGCAAATATGGGAGGGCAGGTCAGTGTTTCGCTTTCCCTTACCTCACCTACACAGTGTGTTTATTTGGTAATGTGTAATTGTCGCTATGAGCTTGAGAATCCCTAAATCAGGATTTCAGTTTGTTCTGTGTTAGAAGATCCTGATTTGATTTGGACATCAATTGGAATAGTCAGGATCAGACCCGTTTCACATCTGGACTTGGTTTCATGCCCCTTCCTGACATAAAAGGATACAGCTTGGATTTGGCTAGAGATTTGAAGGCCCTGTGAAAAAAATGCAAAAATTAAGAAAAAGCATGTTAGCTATGTTGGATTCCTTGCAAGAGGAACAAAGAGAGAATATAAATATAATAATATTTAATCAATACAGTTTATTCTAATAAAAGCGAGTATCTTTTCTTACACAAAGGGTACATCCAGTTGTAGGAAAGTCCCATGGAAAGTAATGGCTGAAGCACTGTTCTACTTAGTTACTTGATTTTAGAAATAAGTCACACTGGGTTGCGTCTAGCCTTAGTCTTGCTTAGAGTAGATCCATTGAGCTTAGTAGCTGCAGCAAGTCTGTTCCAAATACGTCTGTCTGGGACAGGCTGAGAGCAACATGGTTGCTTTTCTGGAAATTATTTTAAAATATACAACCTGCCATTCACCCCGAGAACTCTTAGGGCAAGGAACAAAAGAATACAATTTCAGTAAATAATGCTGCAGTTTGAGAAAACAACCACAATGAAACAGACGGGACACAATTAACAACAAGCAAGGATTCCAAACGCAGAGCTAGTGTGTATCAATCCAGCCCAGAAATAACAGCGCATTAGCAAAAGCCTGGTGGAAAGGGGGTATTTTAGCAATTCTCCAACAGCACATGTGGGGCAATGGGCGCTGTCTGGGGAGACGTCCTGTGGGGAAAGCATCAGCACCCAGAAGGCCCAGCTAGAAGTTGCAAGCAGGGAGGCAACACCAGAGAAGCAAACTTTGGGACGGGGCCACTCAGAGGGCTTTAAAGAGGAATTTCAGTGCCTTGCATTGAGCCAAGAAGAAAGCTGCTAATCCGTGAAGCTTCTTCAACACTTGGATCAGGGATTCCTGTGGATCTCCGGGCACGCGGTCACACGGGTTCTGGTCCTTTGATTTCCGCATTTCTGGAATCGCAGTGGATTGCGTCGGCCCCTGCATCCTCCCCAAACCCCCCTATTTTATGCTATGCAGGCCGGGCCAGCAAGCACAGCCGAGCTGTACTGCAATCACCGAAGCTGGATTCCCCTTGTCAGGATAATGACAAGCGGGGCCGTGATCGGTTCGTGGGCTTTGAGGCGGGTGGGTGGCGAGGAGGCATGCGGCACGGCTGACGCTGCAGAGGGCATGCAGAAGCCAGGGTCACAGCCCACCCCGTCAGCAGAATAGTGGGAAGCGAGGCAGTGCTGTAAAAGGGATAAACTCGGTTACTGTGCCTGAACGGTGCGGGAGGGTGTCTGTCCCAAGGGCGTTCTGGCTGCAGTAGCCTTGCCGCTTGTTGCTCTACTGAGGGACGGGAATAATTTATTTCCACGGCAATGATAGTTGCTGGTAACGCCATGCATTTAAAAAAAAATGTAACCTGCCTTTTGGCTAAAACCCTCCAAAGACAATAGTTAAGAAATGTTTAGACTATATAAAAATGCAGATGTCCCCATTTGGAAAAAAAAATCCCTAAACCTAATTGGTCTGGGGAGATCGAATTAGAGGTTTGGATGATGAAAGCAAAAGTCTGCTGGAAGACATCCACCTTGTCGTAGCATCTGAAAGCGCAGGGAGGGGGCGTGAGATGCAGTTCCTCGGCGGGGGGTGGGTGCTCTCTTTCTTCCATGCTGTCAAAAAGGTGCTGTCAGCAAAATCTTGGGGTTCCTTGCCGCTCCGGTGTCCAGTCCTTGTGTTTCTGTGATGAGGTTCAGGCTGGGAAGTGTATTTTTCTGAAATGCATATTTAAGGGCTTGTCTGAAAATAGACGAGACAACGGTGCCTCGTCGTCGCTCAGGGCACTGTTGTCTTGATGGCGTGAGCACAGCTAAGCCTGAGAGTGGAGTTATGGAATGAACATTGTGTGTACATGAGTTTGTTTTGTACAGCGACACAGACGTGGCACGTGGGACTGGAGCCGTCGCTACTTTGGTACTCCAGGTCACGATGCAGTTGTGCAAAGCATGTTAGAAACAGAAGCATAGAAACAGAGCGAGTCATAAGGGGTCTCCCGGGCCATCTAGTCTGACCCCCGGCTCCAGCTGGCTCCGCTCTTGGCATGTCTACTACGTGTATGGAAACCTTCTAGTCCATATCAGCAACTGGCCCTGAAGAAAATTAACTGGCCTTCTGGGACAGACAGAGAGAGAGCTGAATGTGGTGGGCACATGGTGGGTGGGCATGTCGTGAGTGGAGCCGGGGGTCAGACTAGATGGCCCAGGAGGCCCCTTCTGACTCGCTCTGTTTCTATGCTTCTATGGATTTGCACGCCAGGTGCAAAAGAGAGAGCTTTTCCCCTCTGCTGTTCAGCTTGGTTTATTTGTTGGATGCAGAGGAGAGGTAAAGCGCTCCAGCCATTCACTCACCTTCCTGGGATTCCCCGTGCCCTCCGGCATGCAGCTCCTGGCCGCCTCTTCCTCCTTGGCCTGTCCTGGAACGCAAAGCAACGGGCCACTTGGCAACGGGACGCTCTGTTCTCCCTTTTCCAGCAACAGTTGCAGGCCTACGTGGCCTGGGTAAATTCGCAGCTGAAGAAGAAGCCGGAAGTTAAGCCCGTGCAGGACCTGAGGCGGGATCTCCGAGATGGCGTTGTCCTGGTGTCCCTCATCGAGATCGTAGGTCAGTAACGTCAGGGCTGGCTCCGGGGTTTTGAGGGCCGTAGGGTAAGGCCCCGGTGGGTCAGCTCAGGCAGGGTTCCTTTAGAGTAAGGTAAGCACAAGCCTACCCACCATTCAAAGGGGTGGATGGCTAAATCACAGAGGTGAATATCCTTCTGATTTCATATGTGCTCTTGGCAACTTTTGAGAGCTTTTTGTGTGCCATGAATGCTGAAATGCTCTTAATTTCCCAAGGAGATTATGAAAGGACAAACCTATTTTTATTAGCTGACATACTAGTGCTTCCATTTAGTAAAAGCCCATTCAAGTGCTAGACCGGTAGAAGCATAAAGACAACGCGATCCTTTTCCATATTATTTAAGCAGGCAGAAAGAGAATCGGACAGAACGATGAGAGAGAATGAGATGCTAGAGGTGAGCGGGTGTGCTGGGCAGGAGGGCAGCACAACTTGCCATACAAAAAGCTACGGGATTCAGAAAGACCGTATATCCTGAACCGCCTTTCCTCCCAGATTCTAGAGCCTGAATTGCTTCCCGGAGCCGTATGTATTTGTAAGGAGGAAAATGGTAGGGTTTGGCACACGGCTTGAGGTAATGGCTACTCTGTGGGCCGGCTCCAGCCGACACAGCGGATAATGAAAGGCTCTCTTTGCCAGGCAAGCCACAGGCCATGGGCTCTGCCTAGTTAGTCCTTTGGTGCCTGGAAGGATGGCATCATCGCAGCTGGAGCTCCCCCGGCTTCGCGGGGGACGTGACCGATGAAGCCGGCCCCGCTCCCGTCGCTTGCAGGCAGCCGCCGCCTCCTGCTAATGGGGCTGCTTCTCGTCCTCAGCTGGAGAGCAACTGAGCGGCGTGCAGGCCAGTCCCACCAGCCAGCAGGAGATGAAGGAGAACGTGGAGAAGGTCCTGCAGTTCGTGGCATCCAAAAAGATCCGTATGCACCAGACGTCGGCTAAAGGTGAGGCCTTGTCGGTCCTCTGTGTGCCGACGAATGACGCTGAAAGGAAACGTGGGTGTGTTCCACGCCACAGAAGCTCAGCAGAAGCGAGCCCTTCCGCTCTTGTCTGCCGTGACTAAGCGCAGTGAGACAGGAAGTGGAAAAGGGACACGAGGCGTTGCCTAGTGGCTTTCGGACTCGCTCGGGCACTGGCTTTCTTACAGACGCCTCCTGTGAACTGAGAGAGGTTCTCTGAGTCGTTCTGTTTCCAAACTCAGTGGAAATATCATTTACTTCAGGCACTGGGTGTCGGCACCAGGGAACACAATGGCTCCCATTGAAACGGAAGGCACATGATTCTCGTTTTTCCTCGGAAGGAGCACAGCCCCGCAGGTTATCAAGTTCGGTGGGGCATCCTATGTGCAGTGCGGGAAACAGAGTTCTTTCTGTGCCGACAGTCATGCCTTTTTCCTGCTCAGGGAGAGGTTACCAAACAGTTTTCATGCAAGCTGCGCTGGGACAATTTGAGCCTGACATGTTTGTGACCTCCTGGAAAACCTCCAAATTCTTCTGTCCTTTGCACATGATCAGGTGCCCTACAATTTGGGAAAGAGTACAGAGGTTGGGACTGCTAGAGATCCTTGGCCGAGCCTCTGGTATCAGCCCAGTTACTTTCTTATAAAATTGGGTCTTTCGTATTGCAATGAAGACGGGGATGCTCCGGGGGGGGGGGGGGGGGGGGGTTATCATGCAGTCACCCTGCCCCTGTTTTACAGGAGCTCTGGGTATCCGTCTATTCCACTCGTAACTTCCCATGTTCTCCTGCCACTCCTTCCATTTTTCCTGCCCCCTGCTCAGCCCATTAGCGATTAAAAGAGGGACTCGTTGCAAGAAGCCTCCTGGTTGCAGGGAAATGTCTGGAAGGGGATAGTGGGATACCAGTTCAGAGTATTTTCCTATTTCAGACGGGATAAAATAAGTTATTCAGCAGCCTGAATGGAAGTGGTACTTGCCTTCCCAGAATTTTGTCAGGGGTTTTTTACACGTCCTCGCAGCTCCCCATGTAAGTGGAAGGACTCAGACTACAGCATCCCAACTGCAGACTGATTCGTCGATGTTCAAACCATTCTCGGGAGCTTTAGCTCAGTGTGGGTTCTGGAAAGTGAGAGGCACTGTTCATCAGTCCAAGGCATCGATACAAGGTTGTCACCATTTCAGCCAGCACTGTTTTTGGGCTTGCCCAAATCCTCAGTGAATGCTCGCCCCGATCATGTGCTTTCCAGAGAGTTACAGCAAGGGGGAATTGGCCTCTGGAACTTTATACATAATTACGTAAATCAAACTAAAAAAATCACCCAGGAGCATAAGATGAAGGATGGCATTCTGTTCTCACAAATCGGTGCCTGCAACACTCACACATTAACAGAATAGCCCTAATTGCTGCGTGGCATTGGCGGTCAGCAGCATCTTCCCAAATACCAGAAAAAGGCCAGTTCAATTGCTTAAATTGCTTTGCAGTACTTGGAAATGACCATATACAGGACCTGTTGTTTTCTGAAAACAGTTAAATGCCAGTTGACCAAGCAAAGGTAATACCTGCACAGCTGTAGCAGTACCTTGGGGGAAGGCATCTGGATCATACGCAACGAACCTGTAATTGTGTTCGCTGCGTAGGCCCAGGAAGGTCCTCGTAGCTGGGTTATTTCCCGGCAGGCGTCCTCATAACAAATTGCATCTTGTGCAGTTAGAGTCCCGTCCGTTAGGTGGCAGTCACTGATTTTGTTTTGGTCCCTCTGGCATGTTCTCCCGAGCCTAAATGGGTGCAGCCCCACGTCGAGAAGGGCGCAGCATTGCCTCGGGAAGGGCAACTTGAAGTCATGTCCCCCGACTCCCTCATATGGTAAAATCCAGCTCGGTCTGCATCATGACGTTACGACAACCGCTGCCTTTTGGCCTCCGTGTCTCTTCCTTGACTGCCGTGCGTGCGGGCAGGAAGTCCTCGTGCAATGGAGCGAAGGCAGAGGGGCGGCAGAACTGCGTATAACGGAGAGGGAGGAAGGCACTCCAAAAGGGTCGTTGGTTTCGGTGGCGATCCCGTATTTCTGGCAGCATGTCGTTCCGCCTTTGGCGTGCCGCCACGACAACTGGCCATGGCCAGCCTTCAGCAGGTAACCTTGCCGTTGGGTCTTGTTGCAGATATCGTCGATGGGAACCTGAAGTGCATCATGAGGCTCATCCTCGCCTTAGCCGCGCATTTTAAGCCTGGCTCAAGCAAGATGGCTGCTCAGCTTCCGGCAAGCGCGCCGGGAAAGAGCTCCCCGGGAGCTGGCGTGCCCTTCGCCAGCCACAGGCCTCATTCGGCCACCGCAGTTGCTCAGGGCGCAGCGGCCGCCCTGGCCGATGTGCGCCAGGACGTCTTGCGCTTGGGGCGAGACGCTTTCCGGCACAGGCAAAGGTATGTGACACGTCCGGGCTGTGACACAAGCCCAAGCCTCGCCTGGTGGGTTTCGCTGCTGTTTGGGGTCAGGCACGAAGTTCCCCTCATGCGGGTTGGCTTGTCCTGTTGGGGAGGGGGGTGTTCCTCCCTTCTTCTGCCGCATATATGCTGGCTTGCCCGGTGGAAATCTGCAGGGGTACCTGTCCTTCTGGTGCCTCTGCTTTGCAGCTGCCTTTGGCTTGTAACATTCTGGAGTGAGTAACGTGGGTGGACCGGCGACCTGCCTTACCTTCCGTTTCTCAAACAAGTGGGGTTGGTGACTCGCCCATCCTGGCCGTCCACCCCTCACTTTGGATCAACAGTTACCCTGTTCCATTTTCTGGCGCCTTTCGTTTAATTCGCTGCCTCCTTGTAGCAGCTGCTGCTTAAAGCCCAGATGGTATAGCTGGAGAGATGGCGAGCAGTTGCTAAAATGGCAGCCTTTTAATTAATTACAATATGCCAAAGCATGGTGACCTTTAAAAGAAATGGATGCGGAGGCAAGTCGATCCGCGTACTGCAAAGACACCTGACGAGAGGCAGCCGGGAATGAAACCGAGGGGAATTTTGCCTTTGCTTTCTCTCGCTCTTGATGCCGTCTCTCTCTGCAGAGACAGCAGCCTCGACGAGGAGATCGAGCACCCGTACTGGAGTGTCCGGGCGCTGGTGCAGCAGTATGAAGGGCAGCAAAGTGCGCCTTCAGAGCTCCACTCCTCCAGGTAACACACTTGCTACTTACGGAGGCCAGTGTCCTTCCGCTGGCTGATTATCCGCATCTGTCTTTGGTGGAGACCCATGCAAGGCTGCCGGGAGTCTCCCACCTGGCGCAGGCACTTGCTTCTTCACGCCCTTGCTTTCATTTTTCTGGTCCTCCCGACAGAGAAACGTTTGAGGAAGATCCCTGCTTGTGGAAGGCTCAGAAACTTTAAAAAAGATTCCTGACACAGTTGCCATGATGGGGGTCTTGGCCAGCCCCCCTCCCCCAGTTTTAGTCCCTTTGTTTCTGCAGATTCTCCAAGCCCGTGCCTCGTTGCCCGCTCCCTCAAGCTTTGCTTGAAATGGTTCATAAACCAGAAAAGGACTGGAGGATCCTTACGTTTTGACTCGAGAAGTCCTGGAAAAGCAAGATGAGCCTAATTTAGCTTTGAAAAGAGGTGGCTAGAGAGGTGGACTTTTGTTTTGTTTTGTTTTGCTTATTTATTTAAATTTTTTGTACCCTGCCCTTTACAGTGTCTCAGGGTGGATTTTATAACAGGCATAAAGGCCAGGGATTTATGTGTGAAAGGACATGGTGCATTTCAGCCCTGGCAAAAGTTGGGGAGCTGCCCACTGCGCACTTTTTCGCCAAAAATGCTCTTCAGAGAAGAACGTAGTAGAATTCCTGCTCATGAGAGCTCATTAAAAACTGCATGGCACATTTCACAAGCGTTCGGGTGATTGGCGCACGGGGCCCTGGCCGTATTCCAGGGTAATTACAATTTGCCTCCCGCAATTCCCTGAGCTGCTCTAATTGGCAACAATTTCGCCTGCTCCTTTTGGACCTAAACTCTGCCATTGCGCTGGTAAACAGAGGCTGAAAATTGCAATATGGAGATTCCACATTTGGGGAATACTGCAAAGTAGCTTGGGATTATTTTCAGAGCTGTGTGGGTAGATAATAGGTTTGTGCTTTTCTCAGAAGATGGTGTTCCCACATGTCTAAATATATCAGGCCTTCCGTTGTCAAATATTATCTCATGCCGCCTGTTCTCCTGAATTTTCTCTGGAGCATCCATGCACTTTTTGAGGATACAAGAAGATATGCAGAAGACAAGACCCTGATGGCTCTCCCTAGTTGTTCTTCTGTCTCCAACTTTCAGTGCTCAGAGGTAGAGTGCTCCTGTAGTTGGAGGTTCTACATTGTTGCTGTACTTAATTGCAGTTGGCCAGGTCCGAGAAAGACAACTTTTGGCCCTCCAGGTGTTTTACCATGCAGTTCCCACAGTTCTTCATTGGTGGTTTTGCCAGGGCTGATGGAAATCGTAGGCCTAAACTTCAGGAGTGTCACAGGTTGCTCATCCCTAGACGATGTTGTCCGTTATTCTGGGTGCTTCAGAGTCCAGGAACATCTTTCCTGTTGACATTCTTCAAGTTTCCTGCTTGAGCATCTGCCAGGAGCCAAGGGGCAGCCATGGATAAAAAGGAACCGTGAGGTTTTGACCATGTCATGTTACACCTTGTCTTGGATTCCCAGGTAAACTGGGACCAAAATTCTGGATTTCCTATTGAGACATAACCCTTTCCTGGTGGCAGTAAACTTTCTTAAGACTTGTTTGAGCTTTGTTGACAACTCTTCTCTGCTGACATGGTGTTTTTGTACAACTGTGCTTGTAACATCAGAGACGGGAAAAGACTCCCAAAGATTTGAGAGGTTTGATCCAGGGTGCAGATTTCTTTTACCAGGCTGGGAAGCAGGCAGAAGGACTGAAAGCCTGCTAGGAAATTGACTGGAGATTATGTCAAACTGGAGTAAAATGCTTCTTAATTAAACCCAGGGCTGCACTATGATGTATAATTAGATTCCAGCATCATATCTTGAGAATGGGAGAGATTCTCCGTCCATGAAATGTGGGTCTGTGTGCTGTCTTTGTAACTCTGTACAGACAGGCAGAAATTAGTAGAACTTAGAAGCAAGGCCCAAGAGACATAGGAAAGCGGGAGAGAGGTGCTGGGATTGTGTCTGTGCAGGGAAAGGGGGTCGCTTGTGTGTGCGGCCAGGGCAAAAAGATGCAGCAAGCTCGGGGATGCTATTGATTTCTCCAGAGCAGAGTCAGGGACAGAGGCATCGAATCCGGGCTTGTCCACAGAATGGGTCTTTTTCCAGCGCCACCCCCTCGGTGTGTGTGGCTCCAGCAGTGCCGGGTACACAACTGACTTGTTCCATGTGGAAGGAAGCCGTGACAGAGCCTCGCACAGGCAAAAGCTTCTGAACCTGGTGTCCTGATCCAAAGCTGCGGAGAACGCCCGTTTAAGCTGCTGCAGGAATGGGCAAGCAGGGGAGCATCCATCCCTCACAAAAGCGCCATCTGAAAGGAGTGTGTGTGTGTGTGTTTGTGTGTGTGTGTGTGTGTGTGTGTGTGGTTAAGGGAGAGAATAGCTGCAGGATAGAAGCTGCCACTGGGGGGGTGGGGGGGGTTAGTCAGCATCAGGTCTGATTTGTGGCGCTTCTACAGATGATGAAGGGTTAAAAAAAATCTAGGTCATATACTCAAGAACATTGACTGCAGATTAGCTATACCTTCACCCGCTTGCGAACCAGCCTGCCCTATTCCCAGTGGGGTGGCAAAAGGGTGGCTTTTTCTCTCTCCCGCTGTTCCAGGCACACGCCTGCGGGTGAAGGGGGGTGTCTAATCTGGGTGATAATTGTAGTTCTTCAGGGTGGGGGCGAGGAACCCAGGAGGGCCCCACACACAACAGGGGAGGGGGAGCAGCTCTGAGTCATGCCCAGATTCGGGTTCCCTTCCTGGCATGCCCAGGTACAAAGGCAGGTGAGCCAGGTAAGGCTGCTCGCTTCCTAAAAGTGGGAGAGCTGCAGCCAGTCCAGTGCGCAAACCTGGAATGGTTGCTTTGGTGGCCCAGTGGTCCCCTTTGCGGCCCACTGGGTAAAGCGGGATCAGTGTCAAAGTCCACCGTGCTTAAAATACGAGGGCTCTTCCCAACATTTTCTATTTTATAATTATATTTTATATATTTTTTGCTAATGGCATTAAAAAGTTGGCACGACACTGGGGAAAATGCATCACAAAGGAAGGTGCCTACGCAGAATAGTGATGTCGTTTGCTTTTGAAATTTTTAATAAATAGAATTAAAAGCAGCGCGGCAACTTCTTGACGACTCTCGTATTATCTTCCAATGCAAAATGAGATTATTAACCAGAAGACACAGCAATATTAGTATCTAGGAATTTTTTTAAATGGTCAGAAATAAGGAATCAGCCCACAAAAGAGTGCAGATCATAATTTAAGAATGGCATAAGCGTGTTGGTAACAAAGCAAACAAAACGATCAAGGCGGGTTGACTCCGAAGTCCGGGCTGGCATCTCCATCCAAGATGGTGAGGGCAGGATCCTGCGCTGCCATCCCTCGAGGTATACCAGGCTCCTGGGCCGCCTCCCCTCCCCGCTGGGAGCGTGCCCGTCGGAGGCGGACTTCTTGCGCCAGCGTATTCAGAGCGGGGCTCCTTTGCTACGAAGGCTGCGGCTTACCAAAGGGATGGAAGAGCCGCATGGCTCCTGATGCCACGTTCCGGACTTCCAAACACCTGCAGGGGTCCCCTGGTCAGTGGCCGTGGCGGATGCTTGGGCCTTGATTCAAGAAGGATGCGGGCAAATCAGAAAGGGTCCAGCGGAGGGCAGCAAAGCTGATCCAGGGTTTGGAAACTCTGCCCTACGAGGAGCGACGGAGAGAACTGGGCATGTTCAGCCTTGAGAAGAGGAGACTGAGGGGGATGTGATATCTCTCTAGAAGTACCTCAAAGAAGGAGATCAAGATCTCTTCTCGCTGATACCAGAGTGTGGGACACAGAACAATCAGTTCAAGCTGCAGCAACCCAGATTCAGGCTGGACATCAGGAAAAGCTTCCTCACTGTCAGAGCAATACGACAGTGGAACCAGCTGCCTGGAGAGGTGGGGGCTCCCCCAGGCTAACTCCCCTGGGCATCAAACATTTCAGCAGGAATGGATTCAGCCCTTAAACACGAGCTTTGCCACGAAGCCCAACCTCTTTGGCACTTCTGCCTAAATTTAAAGGCCGGTCTGGCTGTACCTCTTTTCTGTGAGATCTCAGCTTATGCCAATGGTGGCTGCTGCCAGTACGAACTGGGGAATGGGGCTTGATTGCCAAGCTCAGGTTATTTTCCTTCTTTCTGGCTACATGCCTTCCTTTTCTCAATGGTGAAACGTGGGCAGTTGGTCGCGACTCCGAAGCTGCCGGGGGTTGCGAAATACTTGGATGTCACCCCGCAGCAGTGACTCGCAGCAGGTATTTCTGTCTACGATTCCTTTGCTGTTCCAATCTGAAATATCACCTTGTCTTGTGATGTATTTATCCTCGGTCCGGGTTGCTATTTTTACTGAAACAGACAGAAGCAGCCTTGTTCATCCCGCTTCTCGATGGAAATTACAGGCTTTTACTCCCCAGCAACCGAGTTGCTTAAAGCGAGCTGGGAAAGACATGCTTCCATTTCATTAGTGTCGGAAATCTATTTTGCATAGACGGACCCTCCCCGATCAACCTAGCGGTTCCGTAACAGTGGCTTGGGTGAAGACCAGATTCCTGGATCCCTACCGAGATGACATGAAGCATGCATTCTGCATGGAGCAAATGTGTGTTCTTGCTGTCGTGATTTCTGGGGGAAAAAGACGGTACTGCTACGGAAAGTCAGCAGGCATGATTCACTGAGGAATTGCCCAAGTAACGCTGCTGCTGCTGCTGCTGCTGCGTTTCCCAGGCGCAGGAAGAGATCCCCCCACCCGCCGCTTCCCCTCCAACCCCTCCCTCTGCTCCACCGTTCCTCTTCTCCACCCAGGACTCAGGCATCTTGCAGAAGAGGGCTCTGCCTCGCAGCCGTAGTGACAGCAGGGGGGAGACGGAGCCGAGCGGAGCAGAGCACTTGCGTGTGCGCGCACACACACACACACACACACACACACACACTCACACACGGAGGACTGGCTGATGGCTCCGCACTGAGCCTCGGAGGCTGGCGGAGCAGTTCCTGGGATGCGCTTTTGGGCTTCCCCAGTAGCCGTGGAGAAGGCGAATAGATCAGCATGGGATGAGAAAAGGGACTTGCCATCTAGAGCGATTTCCGTGCGCCGAAAAAATTCGAGCATACGTCAGACCAAGATGCAACAGTGCCAAGCAAGCAGCAACCCAGCAGACGACCGAAGAGCACTGAAAGCGGCGGCGGCTGAATTTGGGGCCTCTGCCTCCTCCCCGAGGCACCCTCAAGTGCTGCGGGTTTCTCACCGAACTGCTTCTGCCAAGGGACCAGAGCTGTTCGTCCTGCCCACCGCCTCCCCGCTGCGAATGGCTTGTCTCGCGTGAGGGGGTCCGCCTGGCAAACATTTTGCTCCTAGTTTGACAGGAGACTACGTCCTTGGCTGAGAAATTCTGAGCCGGGAAGGGACAAAGCATGCCTGCAGTGGGGACCCCTGGAGAACGGAGGCTCCCGGGGACGCTGGCCCGGTGAGGCCAGAGGTGGCAGGGGCATCATGGGAGGGAAGCAGGTGAAATGGTGAGCCCCCAACTGTTGCCGCTGCGATTTGAGGGGGGCTGGGGGGTCTTGGGCAGGAGGGCGGGCTTGGTCGCTATGATTCATGAGGGGGTCCCTCGTTAGCTGCTTCGGAGGGGGCTCTTCCAGCCAAGGAAGTTCGAAACCCTGCCGGAATTGGTTTGATTTTCTAGACCTAGTTTTTCTGCATGTTAATGTCGGCTGATGAATCGGGCTTTAAAAAAAAAACGATTCCCAAAGCCTCAGATGCTCAGCCTCTCTGTGGAGCGGATCCCCGGGCCAAGGGCTCCCCCCCGCCCCCCCGGCAGAGCTCTTACTGGGCAGGGCGTATGGGGCGTGGAGATGACCTTTGGCCGGCACTTTCGGCTTCAGGTACGCCCTCCGCCATGGTCACTCACTTCTTCAGGTGGCCTGGCGACTGTCACCGCTTTCCACCCGCCAGAGAGCCGTAAATGACACAGTTACCTTGTGCATCGTAAAGGCACCTTAATCTGAACTGTGTCTCTAAGGTTGCTATTAAAACCCTGGTGTAGCCAGATTGTGAAGCGTTGTTGAGCGTTTCTTGTCTGTGTTAACCCGCAAGGGACTTTTCGGTCCTCTCCTTTGGCCTTCTCCACGCCGTCCTCTTGGGTCGCTACCTTTGTAACTGATCCTGCTCCTCCGCTTTTAGTAAGGCCTGCGTGACATGCAGTGCTTACCGAGCGAGGGTCCTCTTGGTGGGGCAGGGCAGGGTCCCAGGCATCAAGTCGGTGCTTCTTTCCCGCAGGTCAGTTAAATGCAAAAGGCGAGCCCTGGTTAAGAAAGAGGTTTGTTAAGAAGTTGACAGTCCCTACAGGCCCGTGTGACGCCTTCCGTCTCTCCCCATTAGACCAGGATGTTATTTCCGCAAGAACGAGAGACGTAGAAGGTATTTGAAAGTTAACAAATCAGACCCAATCTGTTCTGTTTCCAGTAGCATCCGGCCAGCCTGATGGCTCTCAAGCAGCGCCATTGTCCGTTCCTGGCATCTAGTCCTCCCTGGTGTACCGATGCCATGCCTCCAAGGCCATTTAGCTTTCATGGACATTCTCCAGCGATGCCCTTTGGCCAGATCTGGCCCTCGTAAGCACTGGGCTGATCGTGGCACTGAGACGCCCTCGCCCACGCCACGTGGGCCCTTAGCTGAACCCGAGCCAGAGGGCTGCCAGGGACTGAGGTGCAAAACGCACGCAGCTTTGTGTCTTTCCCTTTGTGCTGTAACTTCCCGTGTTCTTGGCCGGGTCCTGGCACCACCAGCAGTACAGGCATCCGTGCTCAAGCTCTTGGATGCTCCCTTCCTGTAACACAGTAAGTGGCATGAGTTCAGTTTTTGAGTTAAGAGGAATAAGGTTGGTCAGTTTTGCTCCTAACCCTTGGATTAAAATGGGACATGCTAAGAACAGGTTATTTTCATTTCCAATTTCTGAGTTGCTTGGATATCATTAATCTAGTGTGTGTATGTGTTCCATGTCCTATTCTTTGCCATTCCAGCTCTGGAGCTTATCTCAGAAGTGCTGGGAAATCAGGAAAGTGAGTTGGGAAGCATCTTCTGTTTTTGTTTTTAAACTATTCTGTTGTCTTCATGCTTTTTTCTTTCTCTTTTCTTTGCTCTCTCCTCTCTCTGGGAAAATGATGCATTAACTTTTGCTCACACTTGCAAGGAGAAAGTCTTTGGGGACATGTTAAATGGGTCAGTGAGCCTTAGATGCCTTTTATTGTTGTCTGGGAGATGGATACTGGAAGAATTTCAGGGTGGGCGTGGAGAGAAAGTCTGAGTGGTTGAACCAGGATGAGCATCTGGAATGGCTGACATTTAAAAAAGAAAACGAAAAGGCCGAGTTCAGGAATGTAAAGTCAGGTCATGAGTTGGAGTCTTCATCCTCACGGGAATTTACAGTTTGCTAAAAATAATATATTTGACTTTTGGCTTCAGTCGTAGGAACAAGGGCCGAGTGAAAAACAAGATACATGAGTGGCTGTGATAAGCATCTTTCAGCAGCCAAGGGAAAAAGTTGTTGCAAGAATTGTTTGTGTAGCATAGAATAAGCGTGTTGACTTTTGGTGTTATGTGCTTCTGTATGAGTGTGTGGCTTGTGTGTGTAAAAGAAGTCATTAAAAGGGTTCCTCTAGTCGTGCTTTGATTGGCTGCCCACATTTGGGTGTATTTGGGTGGGGGCGTCAAGGTGAAGTGGCTGGATTGGGTGGCAAAACCGGAGATAACTTTCTGTGTCGCTGTTTTTCTTGTACATTTATGGGTTGTGCCCATTTTTTATTTGGAAATGGAAAGGATTTGCCATGGAAAGGCACTGCCGTTGTGGATTTTCCAACAGCCCTGGCTGGAAGGCTTAGTGTCCTCCCCGTCTGATTAGCCTTGATGAGTGTTTGGTGCAATTGAAGCTCTCGCTTAGTTTATATCCGGAGCTGCACGGCGAGTCTGTCCCTGCCCGCCTGCACTGCGAAGACGCTTGCCTTCTCTTCCCCCGCACAGCCTCACGTCGCCCAGCCCCATAAACAGTGCAAAGAGCGACTGCAGCGCTGCACCTTCGGAGGAGAAGGCAGGATCCGACATTTGTCATGAAGAAGACGCGGACGCTCGAACAGGTACGGCAGCGAGCGGCCGGCCGGCTCTGAACTTGGGAGTGTCGCGTCCGCCCCTTGGCCTGCGGCAGCCCCCCACCGTTTGAGAATTTGCTTTGTCCTGGGTCTTGGTAAGGGCTGGAGCAGTTGACTGATTTTTAGCAGTCTAAAAACGAACTAAAAAGCTGCCCCTAATTGGCAGTGTTTATGTTAATACAGGTCTCTATAGAAATTCAGTTAGGAAGGACCCATCTTATCTATCTGAGGAATTTCTGCCCCGTCCTAATCAAAAGCCTCAGGATGGCATCAATTTATATTTTCTTATAAGAGGCATCAGGTTCATCTTTTCCCTCCTCCTCCCTCCCTCGCACACCGACCCCTCATACAGCCAGGGAGCCCTTCATAAGGCTGGGACTACCGAAAAGTCCTCCTTCTTAAGAGTGGTTTTTACCCTAAATAGAAATCCAGGCTATTCAGATTTATTTAGCCAGGCGACACCCCCACACTTGGTACCTCCGTTCGGGGGGTGGGTGTCCCTGTGCAGCCGAGAACTGTACATGGCAAGCTGCAGGGAAGCAGCTGCATCAGGCCGGGGGTTGTGGAGTCAAACCTTTCGGGGGTGGGAGGGAGGGAGCAGGGAAGCGCCGGGTGCAGCTTCAGCTCCTCCACCCACTCTGGTTGTGCCCAGCCTTCCCTTCATCTGGGTAGGACCCTCCCCAAATAAGACTGAAAGATGGACTCTGACTGGAGCTCACAGGACTGTTTGGCATTTCCAAGGGCTGCTTCCCACGTGACATTTTGTAAAGTTGTTTTGTTTACGTTTTTTGTAAGCTGCCCAGAGACTTTAGTATTGGACAGCGTATAAAAACTTTAAATAAATGAATAAATAATAATAAATAAAGTGTAACACTAAAACCAGGGAGACATAACTGTATGCAGCTGGCCTTTGAGTGAATATATAAAATGTGCAGTAGGCTTTAGCATTCCTGGACCAAAATTGTTTGGGTGTTTTTTCACACCCGCTCTTCTTTCAACAAGCCAGTAGAGCACTCCTCCTCCTCCTCCTCATCCGATGGCAATTACTTGTTGTAAACCTCCTTGCTTCTTCGTTTTATCCTCACAACAACCCTGTGAGGTAGGTTAGGATGAGAGGCAACGCCTGGCCCAAAGTCACCCAGTTGGCTCCGTGGCTGAGCGGGGACTCGAACCCGGATCGCCTGAGTCCCAGTCCCATGCTCTTAACCACTGCACCACGGTGCTCCCCCCACTGTGTTATCAGAACAGCTGCCCTGCAGGGAAGGTTGGACTGAGAAAAGAGCAACCGGACGAAGCTCGCCCTGTGGGTTTCACCGCTGAGTGACGATTTGGACCTGGTTTTCCATGGACCTAGTCTGACACTAACCGCTACACGGCACTGCCTCTCAAAGCTTTCCACATTTGAAAGTGGGGTGGACTGCTGGAATATATAGCTTATTTTGCAAAACACCTCTTGTGTGCTGTGCAAAAGATTCAGCATAGATGCAGCCCATATTTCGGAGCGACCAAGCGCCATCCCTTGAGGAACCTCTCAGCTTTCACTCAGCCCACGTAACCAGGACTGCCAAAACGGGAAGGAATAGAAAACTGCAGCAGGGACTCCCTGCAGATGATGAGAGTTTCCGGGCAAAAGCTCATTTGATTTTAAATCCTAAACCCACAGCGATTAGACCCCGTTTGTAGTAGTTTCTGGGAAGGTTGCTTGGTGGATGCTGTGAAAAGAAAAAGGGTCCCAGAGAAGGTCTCTTTTTATTATTCACTGCTCAGGGAAGAATGCTTTGTGCTTAGATCAAGTGGAGAGGGAGGGAAACGCTCAAAACAAAAGTCTGAAATCTCCTGTCTGAGAGAGTCTGAATTCATAATGCACAGACGCTTGGACGGAGCCTGGGAACGGGGGTGTGGGGGTCTTCTGCGGCTTCCTCCCAGCCCTTTGGAGTGGCTCTTTTAAAAGGGCGTTTCTGCAAAGTTTTAGTGAGTGTCGCAACTTTATTATCTCAGTAACTCTTGCAGCTGCCCTGTAAGGTGAGCATTTTTCAGGTGGGCTGATGCTTGAGAGAGCTCTTTGTTCGAAACTCTCTGCCAGTTTAGGGTTGCATTGGAACTAGGACCCCTGGGCTGACAGCACACACACTGACAATGATGTCTACTTAGAAGTAAGTCCCACCAAGTTCACACGACTTATTCCCAAGGAATAATACCCAGGATTACAGTCCCCACTGGAGCAGTTCCCCAGTTGCCCCTGCTTTGTCTCGGGCCGTCTCTTGGCTACTGTGGTTTGGCCTCAGTGCTTGATTCTTCTGCTCTTGCCTTCTGTTCAGGCAGCACTGCTTAATTTACTCTTGTGGTTGTGTTTGGCCTCTGGCGACCTTGGAGAATAGGCCACCAAAATTCCCATTTCACAGGCCAGGAGGGACTTGCCCGAGAGAAGCAGAAGTTCACCCAGGTTGAACTGTCTGAGCACTGGGCTGTGTTCATGGGCATCAGACGCGGGGCACACCTGCAGTCTGCATAACACGGAAGCAGCACCTTTGCTGCTTGCCGTCTGCAGCGGAGAAGCCAGACGAGGGCAGGAGGAGAGACATGGCGGAGATGGGCTGAGAGGCTGTGCGACGCAGGGACCAGAAACGGAAGCAGGAGTGACTCACAGGTGTGCTGCTGAAGGACACCGGTGTGGTTGCTGGGCCTCAGGCTGAGCCAGGATGTTTGGCAGTGGGGCGGAGAGCGTGTTAGTCTGAATGCGGCCCAGTGTTCCCACCTGCTGTAACTCAGGTGAGGTGGTCTTTCAGGTGAGCACAGCCTGGCCTCCAGGGATGGAACCCTTTGAGTTCCTCCAAGGGATGAGCAAGAGGACGCAGCTAACAATAAAACCACAATAGTGAGGGGTGGCCTGGCAGTATGCAGCTGGCTGTCCTCTCTCCCACCTGCCTCCACCATGTTTCTTTGGAGGGCTGAGGAAAGGGAAGTCGTATCAGTCCAGAATTCTTCGACAAACTTTGTTTTGCTTGCAGAAGAGTGGCAGGCAAGGTGCCCCACCATTAGCTTGGAAACTTCCTGGGAGGAGCAGCTTCTGGAACAGCAAGATCACTTGGAGAAGGAAATGGAAGAAGCAAAGAAAATGATTTCAGGATTGCAGGTACCATTTCTTGACCCTCCTCCATCCGCATTTGCTTTGGTCACTTTTAATAGCCATGTACAAGTTGGTCTTTCCACACAAGCCACTGGTAGGGAATGCAGAAACTTCCAGTTCAGTTGCTGCTTTGAACACAAGCCTTGGGTGCTTTTGCAAAAGTGGCTTTCAGCCAGGCGTGTGCTAGGGAGTTGTAGAAATACTAATGTAGACGGATTGTAGCCTTGCCGCTCTTTGCTCTTTAATGCTAATTTATAAAATGTGCTGAACGAATGCCCAAGCGTTGGGGTAGAACGCACGCGCGCACACACGCAACGGGTGCAGTGCAGACATGCACAAAATGGGGCTGGTTTGGGGATGAAGGGAGGGGGAGCCGTATAAATGAGTACCAGCGAAGTTCCCGAGGATCGGCTGCGTTACCTGCAAGAAGAGCTGCTCCTCCCCATTACAAAGGGCAGGGAAGTGGGAATACCCCAGTGCCAGAAATGCGCCCTCGGGAGAAAAGGTCTGGATGGTGCATATCAAAAAGGAACCAATACGTATCATTCTCCTTTTTAAAAAAAGAGGGGAAAGGGGGCATTCAAAAAGCAGCAGAGCGAAAGAGGCGGATTGTCCAAGCGACAGAGGACAAGGACTGGAACTCGGAGTCGCTGGGGGCAGAGAGACTCAGGTTTCTAAGAAGTCAGAGGTAAACTTTGGGTTGCAATCCTGTGCGTTCCTGTCCGGGGCTAAGCGCCGCTGGATGCAGCGGGGCTGATTTCTGAGCGAACCCGCGCCGGGCTGGGTTGCCCTCCTTGCATTTCCCCGGAGCGTTTCTGGCATGGACGCTGGTGCTGGCCCACCGCTGGCCATCTGCTCCTGGTGCAACTGGCACTTCGTTCCGGAGGGCTGCGCTGGTTTTGAACGGTAAACGCCTGCACACGGGTAAACAAAGGCAGCTTTGTGCTGGTGCATCAGGTGGTGTAGGTGGGGAGGGTGGGTTTGCCGCCTGCTTGTGAATCAGACACAAAGGGAGGCTTGGTGCCTTCGCGGAGCGTGGCGGCCCGGGACTCTGCTTTTCAGGCTCCGGGCACCAAAGGAGGCAGCTGGTCCCGGGAATGGCAGCTGCCTGGCATCGCTGCCCGTTATCTCCCAGCGATGGGCGGGAGGGAGCAGCTGATCCCATTGCCCGGGAAATTGGATCTGAATGGCCACTTTCCCCCCTGAAGCCTCCGGAGCAAGAGGGATGGACTGCCGTTCCCAGGCTTAGTGTGCCCCTTTGGGACGCCTGAAAGGAGCAGCCCTGCCGGGTTTTCCCGCTGGGCAACGTTGGGAGCGCTGGGAAAGACGGGATACAGATGGGCAGGAGCTCGGCCTCCTGCCAGGACGGCCCCTCTCTGAGACGGAGCGTGGCCCTTGAGGGCTTCGGTGTGGCCGTCTTGGATCTCAGTCGTGCTGCCCCTGCCGGTGGGCAGTCGTTTTTCATTTGCAGCCCCCCCTTTGGGATCAGAGCCGGAATGAATCCCATCTGTTTGCTGCGGGGTCCCCACTCCTCCTTTTGGAGAATGAGAATGTGTACGGCCTAACCCATGGGGGCCGCCTTGAATATGTCCCATTTATTATACCCTCTGTTCCCAGTTTTCAAAGGGGAGCGTGGATCCTTATATAGCAAAGAAAGCAGCCTAATGAGGACTGGCTTTGCTCAGTGGTGAGGGCATGCTGACCGAGTGGGATAAACCGGAAAGGTACCCTCTGGCCACCCGAACACGAGCATTACATACTGCAGCATTTTGTTGCAGGTCGATCTTCTAAGAGCGTGATAGGGAACATACGATCCGTCTGCAACAGCGTCTTTGCATGACCTGCTGGATCCATGGGATGTTCACTAACATTCTGTGCAGGGAAGAGGTTCTGGTCACGGCCGCTTGTAAAAAGCACAGGGCAGTAAAAGATCCATTTGGCTAGGAAAGTTCTAGCCAAGTTCCAGGCCCCTGCAGGCACCCGATGTATCAGCCATCCCCAAACTCTGTGCGGTGCTAACGGAGAAAAGAGTGATTGCTTTTCCTGCGTTAGGAAAGTGGAAGCGTGGAAGCTGTCCGTGTGAATGCAGCTGTCTTTATAGCCTTACCTGCAAGTGTTTTGTGAGGTATGCATATGGCTTGAAAGATGCTGCTTGCTCAGTCAAGCAGGTGTGTCCAGCTTAGCCCCCCCCCCCACCCCCCAAATACCTGTTTGGACTTGTAGAAGTGGGGAAAGATGGAGATAGGTTTGTACCACTAGTATCATTGGGGTGCTAACTAGGAACTACTCCATGAATGATGATCATGCAGACTTGATAACAGCAAGTCTGGAAGGATGGATACACCATGCGGTGGCCTCCAGCAGTCCCCTTCCTTCCCTTTACATTTTTATTTTTAATATGATCTGGGGGCCGAACCCATTTTGTGCAACGGGGCTCCGGCTGCACACGCGGACGACTCACGCCCCAGTCGGATCCCTCCCCCACCGACGGGTGAATTGCTCCCTGCTGGCTTCGAGTAGCCATGTCCTTTTGCCGTCGTTGTTTTGCCAGGCCTTGCTGCTCAACGGGTCCCTCCCTGAGGACGAGCAAGGAAGAGCGCTTGTCCTGTGCGAACAGGAGACCTGCCCGGAGGAGCAGCTGGTGAGCTGGGATGCCTTTCTTTGGATGCTCCATTGGTGCTTGTGCATTATTCCCGGTGAGTAACTGCAGCGTTTCCCTCCAGATCATACTCCGAGGCCGACTGGACCAGAGCATGGAGGAGAACCAGGAGCTAAAGGTAACGTGCAAGCCGGGCAGAAGTGGGCATCTTTAGTTTCCGGCTGCCATGAGCTGGGAGCTGGTAGCTCTGTCAGGCGCAGATGCTGCACCAGAGTTTGTTTGTTTGTTTGTTTGTTTGTTTGTTTATTTATTTATTAAAACATTTTTATGCCGCCCCATTCGCCGAAGCCTCGGGGCGGCTCACATCAATAAATTAAAATAATTATAATATAAATTAAAATATAAATATAAAATTAAAATACAGCAATACAGTATAAAATAAGCCGCCCTGGCCAGATAAAACCAATAATGTTAACAGTTAACATTTCACAGTGTAAGGACCTTTACTGCCAGGACACAAGGCCCCTGAGCAGACGCCAGGTGACATGCTGAGCCCCACCTGCTGGTCATTACCCAACGCTTCCCCGACAAGCCCTTTGGTTGATCTTTCTTCTGCGCCGACCCCGGCGCCCGACCCCCCGCTCGAAGCCCGCAGGGAATGAGCCACCTCTGGGAACTGGGCGCTCTGTGCGGCTCACCTGAGCTCTGGCAGGACCCGTGCACTGGGACATTAGAATCGCAGCGTTCTGGGGCCAGCACCCTGAGGTGGCCAGCTGTGGGGCAGTGTTTGGGCAGTCTTGGGAGCCGCGAACACAATGCCAGTTCTATTTCTCAGCCAGTTACTGCTGTGAGGGAGGGGCAGAGAGGGCCAGATCTGCCCTGCTCGGCTCCGGGTGAAACGTGTGCACTGGATTCCACTGGAGTCAGACATCCGGCATCCCTTCTCATATTGTGCCATAAGAATACTGCCCCGCCGGTTTCTGCCGCCTCTTTCCTCCCCATGTTCACTGACATCCCCTTTCGAACAGAAGGGAAGTGAACCCAGCTCTACCAAAGCCGTTTGAGGCATTTGCAAACGTTTGCCCTGTGCCTGGATAACCAGCTGGGGCAATCGTTAAGATTTCTAGCCGTGCCGGAATGTAAACCAACTTTCATTGTGAGATAAAGCAGCACAGAAAAAAGCCGGCCCTGCCATGCCTGTCTCTTCTGGGGCCTGCACTGAAGTTGGCTGTGAGCCCACGACTGCTTTAAAGGTTGAGTTCTCAGCCCTGAGCTGAGAGGGAGATTTTGAGGCATTGATGGTTTTCCCATTTGCCATTTAATATGGAGTGCGCCGGGAAGCCATGGTGCCCCGATGGACATCATCATGGCATCAACAACTTCTTCATCTTCTTGCTTCCTCTGGGCTCAGTTAAAGCAGCTGCTGCTTCTTGGTTTTGTTTGATTCTTCGGGCATGAGAGAGAGAGAGAGAGAGAGAGAGAGAGAGAGAGAGAGAGAGAGAGAGAGAGAGAGAGAGAGTTTCTCTCAGTCTCAGGAAGGGAAGGAGATGGAAGAGGAGGGATTGATTTTGAGGTGGTGCCGTGTAACTGTCTTTGTAACCCAACTCGGTTGGTCTTGCAGAAGGAGCTGCAGAAGCAAAAACAAGAAGCTCGAAACCTGCAGGGAGTCAAGGTGAGAAAGGAAGATTTAATACTGAACGGGGCCTGTTCGGGTGGGTTTTGTACTGGTGCAGGGGCATTCAAGCTGTGGAAAGCATCTTCCAAAGAGGTTTGTCAGATACTGACCTCCTGATCACATCAGCCCCAGGAAATTCCCTTTTGTTTCCTGAGGCCTTTAAAGACCTCTTAAGAACTCCGACATCTTTAGAAACCTATCTTTTAAATTCTGCTTTATATCGCGGGTGTATCATTTTACGGTGGACGATCGTGGCACATAGGTTCAGTGAGCAAATAAATAAGAAGCCCTCCGGTAGCAGGACGCACTCACCTGCGTGCCCCTTGAGGTGCGGTCGCCTGGCCCAGGTGGTGCTTGGCACCCTTTGTGGCTGTGGCAGCCTGCAGGGCAGTCCGAGCAGCCCAGGTGGCTCGTTCCTGGTTGCTATGGACCACCCAGGTCCGCTGGCCTTTGGCGGCCTAGAGCGCTGCGCTGCTTTTCCAGGATGCTCTGCAGCAGCGGCTCACCCAGCAAGACACGCTGATGCTTCAGATCAAGCAGGAGTTGCTGAGGGCAAGCATGGACAAGGAGGACCTGCACAGCCAGAACGTGAGTGCCGCACTCTCCTGGGCTGCAGGGACCCGGGAGTCCTGGAGTGTGGGGCAGAGGGCGCACGGTGCATGCAGGGAGCCAGCGCCTCTGTGGCTGCAGCGTGAAGGAGCTGGAGCAGGTGCTGTGAAGAACAGCTGCTTGGAAAGGCAAGAATCGGGCCTCTCTCTGCCTTTTACCTTTCCCGCTGCCTGGCTCTGCTGGGAAGGAGGAGATGCTTCCCCGGAGATGCTGGCTGTGTGGGCCATCGTGCGCCTCTGGGTCCATCATTCCAGCTGTGCTGCCCATCCAGGTGGCACCGCGCCAGGGGAACCTCGAAAGGGAGGCCCCAAGCTCTGCTCTGCATTGCCCGAGTGACCAGGCTGAGCTGCACCCCTTCCGCCCAGCCGCTGCAGCATGTTCTGCATCAAGGAAGCAGCGGCGGCTGAGCAAGGGCCCAGAGGGCGGAGGAACTGGTGCGCGTTGCTCTTGCCCCCTCTGCCCTGCAGGGGAGCAGGATGGCTCCTGTCAGGTGCTGTGCCTGGAACCAGGGCGGGAGGGTGTCAGAAGCACGCCCAGCTCAGCTGTCACGTCCCTTCTGCAGGCTGATCTACAGAGGAAAGTTGAAGAGAGGAATCGGCTCCTGGCAGAATACAAAGTAAGCGAGTCTTCCTCCCTCTCCAGAATTGCAGGGGCAATTGCCCAGGGGGCTCCTCGACTGGGGCAGTTGCCCAGGGCACTAATCCCTGCAGTGCGGAGTTGTGCTGGCTGGGGCTGCCTCCGCCAGCCTCCTCCTTGCCCTCGCACTCCCCGGGCCAGTCTGGCCGGGCTCCCGCAGCGCCCGGGGGCCTCGGCATGCACGCGTCCCGCACAGAGCGCCACGTGGCCACCCGCCCGCGGACTGCGCCAGCCCTCGCCGCAGCTCTGCCCCTTCCGCCGCCGGTGACCCGCTCCTCCCCCTTGTGTTGCAGAAGGAGCTGGGCCAGAAGGATCGGCACCTGCACCAGCACCAGGCCAAGATGGAGGAGATGCTGCGGCAGCTCTCGGAGGCCAGCTACCAGCAGGTGCCCGCCGGCCCCCTCCCGCCCCACCCGGTTCCCCTCCTGCCTGCCGGGCCCTCTGCACGATGTGACCCGTCCGCTCTCTTCGCAGGCAGAGCTGGAGCGGGAGCTGGAGCGCAAAGAAGCCATCCTGGCACAGTGCGTGAAGAAGGATGCGGAGGAGGTATGCCGAGCCGTGGCTGGGGAAAGTGGCAGCCGAGTCCCGTGTGGGCGGCCCGAGGGGGCGGCGTGGCGCGGCCGGTTCCCCTTTCTCAGCGGCCGCTTTTCCGGTTCTGGCACAAGCCTCTGATGGTGCCACGTCGGAGACGGCGGTAGAATCACGAGATCGCGTGGGGCAGCAAGATGGTTGTGGGTGTGGCGCGCTTCCTCTCGGCCCCGGCAGATGACGTGCCGCAGCACACGGCAGCAGATTATGGGCTGGATCTGCAGGCAGGCCGCCCCCTCCTGCGGAAACAAACAAGATGCATTCAAGCAGCCCTGTTAACAGCCACCCCCCACGCACCTTTCCTCAGCCCGTTTCCCGCTTCTCCGTTTAGAAAGGGAAGAGATCCTAAGTGCCAGGTGGGTCTGGGATTTGAGAAATAGGCTCCAGGGGCGCAGCTGCAGCTCGTCTGCTCGGCGCACAGCTGGGTTTTGCCGCAAGGTCCCTCCAAATGGACCCACCGCTGTTGAAATGCCGTGCCTTCCATCCCAGATCGGCGGCGGCCAGTTGGTCCGCAACCGTAGTTTCAGCCTTGCCCGGTCTGTGTGGGAGCTGCAGGAAGACCCAGCCCATGCCGCAAAAGGTTTTCTGTCCATCTTGCAAAGCAGGTCATTGTCTGCAGCAGCCTCGGCTCCCAGACCAACGGCTTCCTCCAGACGTCGGGGAAAGGACCCCTGCCTGCAGCACACAGAGGGGTGAGCGCGCAACTCCTGGTTCCCTGCTGGGAGCCCCTCTCCTGTGCTCCTCGGGCAGGCGGGGGGCGTTGAGCCCTCGGGATGGGACACCGCCAGCACGAGGACAGCCGCCTCCCCCGCCATCCCCTGACCTCTCCCGCTCTCTGCCCAGTCGGGCGACCTGCAGCTGGTGCGCGAAGCCCTGCGCAGCTTGCGGAATAGCTTCAGCGGCCACGACCCGCAGCACCACACCATCGACAGTCTGGAGCAGGGCATCTCCAGCCTGATGGAGCGGCTGCACCGCATGGAAGCGCAGAAGAGGCAGGAGAGACGGGTAACGCCAGCCGCGGAAGCTGGGCCACTTGTGCGCTCGCTGGCACGTCCCTGGCCTGCGGGTGCTCCGGGGCGGGCTGCTGGGAAGACTCGGGGCTCTGTCTGCCCTGCGTGGAAGCGTGCCGCCACGGGGCCCCTTCCGTGCCGCAGGCAGCTGAAGCCTCGCTGGTGAGCTGAAAGAGTGCGGCTCGGCTCGGCTCGGCTCGGCTCGTGGGAGACTGCAGGGGAGGCTGCGGGAGGGCAAAGGGCTGGCTCTGGAGACGCTTGCTGAGCCACGGTCATGTGAAGGCCAGGAGGTGCCAGGGAGAGGGGCAGGAAGGAGGCAGGGGAGTTTGGCAGTCCTGACTTTCGTCCCGGTTTGGTGGTTAGCGGAGGAAACCAAGCTTTCCCGGCATCGTGGCATTTGGCCTGCCCGAGGCCAGGCACGCGCTCAAGTTCGCTCTCAGCTCCCATGCCTTTTCCTCTTGCCATGTGGCTTCCGGCAGACGCCTTGGCCCTTTCCCATTGCCGCGTGCCCTCTGGGATGCTCTGAGGGCCACCGCCGGCTCCCCAGGCACAGCTCCGGAGCTGCCATATGCTGCCATCGCTGGAGGGCTTTTTCATCCCCGGCCTCACCAGTCACCGTCCTCGGGGGAAGCGGGGCGTTGTTCTGAGACGGCTCTTGCCGGCATGCTGGCGGCCTGTGGCCTCGTTCTCCCCTTGCGGGGCGCGCTCGCACCAGCCCTTTAATCAGCGGCCCCATCTGTTTCTTTTCTGTCTGGTGACCTTTCGGTGGGAGCTCCCTGCACCTGCCGCCGCTGCTCGGGGTGGCGGGGGGGCAAACCTGAGCAAGCCCGGCCTCCTCGCACGAGGCTTGCTCAGCTCAGTGATGCAGAGGGCATCACCCTCTGGATGCTCGCCCTCACAGTCAGGATGAAACTCCCATGATCCCTGGCTGGGAGTTAGGAGGGTCGTCGCCTCGGCTTCTGAGCCTCCCTGAAATGCAGCCCACCGTCCATGTGCCAGCCGCATGGTTTCTCCTGCATCCAGGGCCAGCTTCCAGGTTTCGGGCTCAGCATCGGGCTCCTCAAACCAACAGCCAGGGGTCTGTGCTGCGCATCTTTTCCTCATTCCCTGGTTTCCCTTTCCAGGTCCGAGGGAAGTCGCCTGCCGGCCACACGACAAATGAGTACCGAGACTCCTGGCCCCCCAACTCCAGTGAGTGCAATCCGGAAGGTCTCCTCTTCTCGCTGGGAGCGGGGCTTGCTGCAGAGAGCTTCCCACTGGGAGCCTGCATCACGCACCCCCCGCCCTGTTTGCACGGCCCTTTAGGCGATGCCCAGGCCCCGGCTTTGTATCTGTTCTGCAGCAGCACCTTTGGCAAGTCCTCTCCAGGCAGGGGACACGTGAGCTGAACCAGGTGCTTCTTCTGCGGGTGTCTTTGCACTGTTTCGCTTGCCATCTAGAGGCAGCAGGGAAGCCGGGAAGGAAATGTTCCTCAGGCTCCGATGCATATTGGCTCGTAAAATCAAGCAGAAAGCGCCCTGTTCCTTTTGGGAACCCTGAGCAGGTGCTGCCCTCTAGTGGCCACGGTCTCTTTTTGCCTTACTTTTCCATTACTGCTTTGATTCAGATGTTCACGTAGGTATTCTATTTACTGAGGTTTTTCACTCCTAATGGTGCATCCTATGCATCTACGAGACCTGTTATTTTGCAGAGTATGTGGAAATACAGTAAAGTGGATACTATAAGGTAACAGAGAGGGAAAGGTTTTATTCCCATTAGAGAGGGTCCTATGTATGATTAAACAGAAAATGTCCTTTTGAGGACTAGCAAAAGCGGTGCTTTCAGTTTGCTAAAAAAAAGAGCCTGGGTTCTGCTGTTAAGCCCAGAGGTTGCAGCCAAGGTGACTGTGGTGCGTGGGGGGACAGCCCCCCCACCCCCCCTGGCCTGGACACTTCATGGGCCAGCCTTACAGGTACATCACAAGCTTTAAGGGGGAAATGCTACCTGCAGTATGATGGGGCCTCCAAAAGGCGAAATACGCCTAATTCCCAAGTGGGATATTTTCTCTGGGGCACTTTGCAGTGCCATGGACACCACTTCCCCCTAATTTTGTGGTGCCGCTGATACTTTGCAAGTTGCGTGCTGCTCACTCCTGGTGTCGTGGGAAAGGTACCGCGTGGGCTGGATTCCGCGTAATCCTGGGGTGCTAAGAGCACCGTAGGATCCTGGTTTGGTAACAGACTAATGTCTCTGTCGGTGTGTATGCCCAGTTTTGTGTCGGGATGGGTTCTCGTGCGGCTGAGCCGGGGAGGCGTCTCATGGTTCCTTCCCAGGCCTCTCCACTCACTTGAGCTGGGCAGGAAAGAAGGTTGCCATCGAATGCATTGGAGCTGAATTTGTTGTGTGTCCATCTGTCCGTCCGTCCTCCCGTCCTTCGCAGAATTGCCTCATTCTCACAGCACCCCTGCAATGAGCAGCAGTGCCTGCACCAAAGTGCTCTACTTCACGGATCGTTCCCTCACGCCTTTCATGGTCAACATACCGAAGAGGTGAGTCTGGCTGCTGGGCATGGGGTCTCTCCGAAGGGGGGCTGGCAGGAAGTCTGGGCGCTCCCGTGGGATTCTCTCTCCCAGCCTCTGCTGGAGCTGCTGCAGCTTACACGTCAGGCCTCATTCCACCCCCAAGCAGACGTGCCTCTTTTCTGCCGTTGGCCACTTGCAGGTTAGGTGAGGTTACTCTGAAGGACTTTAAAGCAGCTATTGACCGGGAGGGAACACACCGGTACCACTTCAAAGCCCTGGATCCCGAATTCGGCACAGTCAAGGAAGAGGTACGGTGCAGGCTCTGGCTTCCGTTTGCTTTCAGCTTTCACTGGTTCGGATCTGGTTGCTTTTTAGGCCAGGAGCTGTAAAGGCAGTGATGGCCGGGTGGTTTGGGGTGGAAGAATCTCATGCTAACGCGTGATAACAGAATGTGCGTAGAACAGCTTCCTCTGTGGTTCCCGGAAGAAATTACCTGGGGAGACCAGGATTGTGGGCAAGACTGAACTGGGCTTCTTGGCCACTGAGAATGCATCCCGGGAGGTGCTCGGGGGAAAACGGCCCTGCCGGCCATCTGCCTCCCTGCCAGATCGCCTGGCCTGGGGTCATTTGCCACAATGAGAACCTCACTCTCTGTTCGTTTTCCCTGTAGGTTTTCCATGACGACGACATCATTCCCGGGTGGGAGGGGAAGATTGTGGCATGGGTGGAAGAGGACCATGGGGAGAACTAACTGGCCACCTGGACTCTCTTTACCCTGAAGAGCTCCCACTGTTCCCAGCACTTAACCAGGCACTGACCAAAAAAAAAGCATATGAACTGAAATGCATCGACTCCACTGCCAAAATCAAGGAACGGACTTCTCTGCACAACGACCGGGGCGATGCTTTGCCAGAGGCAAGGATGCCTGGCATTTGAGTTCCATAGCCAAATCTTGTGATGTTTGAAAGTCCCATATTGTGAAGAGTGAGCCCCTTCCTTTATTCAGTCCGTGCTGGCCTTAACGATGCGTTTTGCCCTGCCTCCTATTCCCACTGCTCTTGGTGATCCGGAGAACTTTCTTCGGCGGCACACGGTATTACAAGAAACCTTGCACCTCTGCCTGCAGCTAGAAACTGGCCTGCTGCGGCCCTTTCTCCGCATCGCGTGCGCTTGCCCATCAGTCATTCCAGACGACTCCGTGCAGCAGAGTCCTCTCCATTTTATCAGCAACTGAAAACAACCAGCAGGTTGGCGTTGAGGATTCTCACCTTTGCAGCGAAACGGTGGAGCCAGGGCATTTACTGCCGCTTGTGCTTCACTGGCCTGTCCTTGAAAACCTGGAGACTTGGGGGGAAATCGTCTTTGTATCAGCAAAGGAGGCCACAGAAATTGCCATGCCTGCTTCTGCTCCGTTTCTCTGGGGATCGAGTAGTGGAGCGGAGCCCCATCCGGATGTGCGTCTCTCTGGAGGCACCTGGAGGAACTGTCTCCTGCGCTCCAAACAGTAGGGAGGTTTGGAGCCGCCATCCTCAGAAGGTGGCTGCTTTATTTCTCCTCGGCTCGGGACTGATCCACGCCCTGCTTTCCTCCCATCGCGAGCCGAGCGCTTCTCTCGTCGGCCTCCGCTGGTGCCCGCCCGGGCCTGGGATCTCTCGTTGCCATTTGGATTCGATTTATTTGCATGGGTGGCTAGGAAGGGGGGTGGGCACTGACCTTCGCCAGCTCATTTGTGTGGGTCTCATCACGGGATTTCTGAGGTGTGTGGACCCACTTTTGAGAAAGCCCAGAGGGGACGGGGCGGCAGGTCTCCGCTGGCAGGCTCTGGATTCAAAGCTGTTGCATGGCGCCGCCCGGCTTGGTGTGGCAGGTGCCGTTTTGACCCCCCCCCCCGCCCCACGGTGGCAGCTTTCCTTCTCATCCGTCGCAGGCACCACGAGGGGGAAGCTTGCAGGAGCTGGACCTCAAGCGCACGCACGCACGCGCGCACACACACCTCCGTGCGAGCACAGCGTCCTCGAATTCGCACAGAGGTGGTCGCCGTAAGACACAGTGGAACCTACCGCCCGTGTGGGTTGCAGGAAGAATCCTCGGGGCACGGCGACGGAGTTGGGGGAGATGCCTGCTTACATCTACTCCATGCAAGCTCGGATTTAGTCCCTTGCTGCTCTGCTCAGTGGACTGAAGCTATCGCCCAGCTAGTCGGTCCCAAAGGACAGCCACACACAAGCGAAGAGGCTACTTTTGCTGGGATATGGACTTTCTGCTCCTTCAGACTTGAACCCGCAGGGAGCATCTTCTGCCAGCAAGCCCTCGGCGTGGGTTAACCGAAAAGTGGACAGTGTTCAGCAGAGTCCGTGTTTTGTTTTAGCCGTTCCAGCCTCCAGCAGCCCAGTTTGGCCAGTCCATTCCTCCGGGCGTGGCAGTGCCGTCTTCGCTGCACGTTCCAGCGCTCCGGATCGGTCGCCCGTCTGCCAACCTGCCTCCGTCTGTTTCAGGGGAGGAGACAAGTTTGAAGGAAAAATTGGCTTTTATCATTTTATAGATTTAAATGTGTCCTTTTTGTAAATTTGTTCCTGTTTTTTGGAATTATTTTATATCCATTAATGTTGTTGTTGCTGTTGTTGTTGTTGAAGGACAGTGTATATTTTTATACCAGTGCAAGTGTGCTTTTCCTGTATATTTCTGTGTGCACACAGTACTGTATTTTACCCATTTTTCTAGAGGATGCGATGGCGCTTTATGCTGTGTCCTGTCAGTACCAGCCCATGACTCCCACGACTAGCTTTATTTTGCTATAAAAGTATGACAGGTTCTCACTGGTTTTACATTTTGCCTGCTATTTCTTGTGTAGACGGCACTTTGGGGGGTTTTGTCTTGCCGCACACGGAGTGTACAGAAAGGGCAGTGACGCCTTTCTCAGCCCCTGCTCTTGTTAGAATCCGTGACTGCTGTTAGTATTCAGAGCACAGTCTTTGTTGTTACTTTGAACAGCAACTACAAGGCTGGCTTGTGGCAGTGGGGGAGGGGGAGAGTTTATTAATAAGAGTTTATTAACACCCCTTTGCTCCAAGATAATGAAAAATGCTTTCCCTCTTTTGTGAGAATATTGCTTTCTCTGTTGCATGAGTTTTAGCTGGCTGCAAAAAGACAGCATGGAATTGCTTTTACTAAAAAAAGAAAACTGTCCTGTTTATTCAGCAAGAAATATGCTTTTAGGTCAAGCCACTTTGCACAAACACACTCCATTTAAATTGAATTAATTCTCCTGTGTCATGCAGGCTTGTGCCCAAATATGTGTTGGTAGTAGGGAGAGGGGACAAAGTTTATCTCAGGAAAGAAGAAAATGACTATGGCTCTTTGCCTTTTGGCATACTCTCAGCTTGTTTAAATCCCATAAACTTTTATGGGATTTAGTTATTCTAAGAGTGTGCAGGATTTCATTCCAGGTCTGTTAGTGTTTAAAGCTGAAGTTGCAGCTTGTTTTTTCCTAAGAGTAAACGCATTCCTCCTTGTTGGTGTCACCTTTCTTCACTATTACTTTACTTCTATTTTAATTTTGCTCCTGTAGTAATACTGAGGATGTATCGATATTGATCTCTTAAAATTGAGAATTACAGGAAAGATGTTTTTAACAATGGTGTATTTTTTAACAATGACTCCTATGCACACGCGCACACACAAACTTTTTCAGGATTCTCTGGGGAAAACCTTTAAATTTCATCTAAGTTTGTAGGCGTGTTCCAGGTTTATTTACTCCCTCCTGATGATATGGGTAAAGTGGTGGGGAGTTGAAGTATAAAATAGGCCTTGAATAGTATGAAACAATCATAGAATGAGAGGCCAACCATGTGAAAGATGTAAAGCTTGGGGAAAGGGAATTCTCTTTTTATTAATTTTATCCTAAAATTCTTCCCTTTCAAATTCCTTTTCTGGGTTCAAATTTTTATCACCACCCATGCATCCTGTGTACAAAATATTCTATTTTGCTTAGAAAAGCTGATGTTTACAATCATTCCTGTTCAGGTGAGGACTTGATCTCCTTACGCACTGGCTGAGAGACCTGAAGCTTGTTTATGTGCTTTAACAGTTGGACGTACTTTGGATTTGTGGACCAAGACTGTAAAGAATGGAGCGTCAATAAAAAGAGTTTGCAAATCGAGTCCAGTCGTCTCTTTGGGGCTGGAAGGAGAGAATCATACCAGCTGCACTGGGGATTGCAGAAGCATTCCTGGTATAAAGAGAGGTGTGCAATGCCCAGGAAAAAGCTTCTGGGATGTAACAGAGAGCAGCGTGCAGTCTTTTCTCAGGTGTGCCATGCAATCGGGATTTTCCCCATTATTTTAAGACCTAATTCTTCTTTTAATTGGGCTTTTATTATAGATCTGATGCTGTGTTTTTGTGGTTGGGCTGTCCTGAGACTTTTATGTATAGGACAGGATACAAAGGTTCCCAGCATGGATTGGGACATGCTTAGAGCTATGGCTTATTTGTTGTCTAAACATGCATAGAATTGTTCCTGTTTTTTTTTTTTTTTTTGTGGGGGGGGGGTTAAGTGCTTACCGTGGGTTCCACCCAAACCTCCTAATATTTCCACTTTTGGGGGTGAATGTTGCCACTTTGCAGACACAAGGACCGGTCCCCGGAAAACAGTTCAGTCTTTCAGTAGGTCTGTTTTGTGTGTGATGTTGCTTTAAAAGGCCGTCAGCTTTGCAGGATGCCAAGCAGTCAATAAAAGTTTAATTATTTCACAGGGCTCCCAGATGATGTTCCAGTGTGCACAAAAAGCAGCTGTATGGCTTATGGGTGCTTGTTTAATGGCCCCACTATAGGCACACAGTGGGCATTGAATGCCATTAAACTAGAGCACTATTTAATGCATGCTTAACCCTACAATACTCACCATCCCCTAAAAGCCAAACCCCACAGGATTATGACCATTATTAATAGCAACAATTGCTTCTTTTCTATACTGCCCAGCAGCTGAAACTCACTAGGCAGTTCACAAAAAATATGCATCACTATACAAGAGAATGAAAACATAAGACCTCTAACATGCCACATTTAAGATAGGAAAAAATCAAACTTTTTTTTCTCTAAATATGCATAGCATTGTGCCTTGAAGCAGTTACCATAAGATATTGAGCGCGGGGTGGGGGGCAAGTGACATAAGCGACCTGTCCTATAAGAACGTTTTTTAAAATCGGCGCCAAGTATATGATGGTATTAGCAATCATGACAATAAGGGAACGTCAGAACGTAAGCCGTGCCGGATCAGACCAATGGTTCGTCCGATCCAGCCCTCCGTGCGCCCGGTGGCAAAGCAGCTGCCCGCAGATCCCTGCAGCGGGATGGGTGCAAGGCCCAAGCTCCGCAGCAACGTGTGTGCAGGCATGCGCCTCCGGTGAAGGCGGGAGCGCACGGCGAGCAAGCTAGTAGCCACTGGAAGCTTTGTCCTCCATCACTCCCTCCAGTTCCCCTTTAAAACCATCCAGAGCGCCGGGACCCAAGCGACCACACTGCCGCCCAGTTCCATGCCTCCGCGGCGGACGGCTCCGCCCCATGCGGTGCGCGCGCAGCCGGCTGGCGGCGGGCGAGGTCGCCTTAGGTCGGCGAGGGAGCCCCGCCCCCGCGCTTGGCGGCTCGCTTTGCGGCAGTGTCGCGCGCCCAGCCGTACGGCGCCGCCCGCTCCAGCGAGGAGGGAGGTCACCGCTCGCGTCGCCCCGCTCGGCGCTGACGGGCCGGAGAAGCGGCGGCGGCGGCGGCGACAGGCGCGCGGGGCGCGGGGCCTCCGCGGCTGAGGCGGTGCGG